TTCAATGCTGTTTGGGGAGGTGGAGTTACTGCATCCTCATAATGGGGCACATACATTGGTGGGAGGCAAATCTGAATGCAGACACATGCATAAATAGGTTGATACAAAGGCGATTTATGTCGACCTGACTGTAGTTTAAACCAGGCCTAAGTGCTCTAAAATCCACAAAGTTACTCAGATTGCCTTCAAATTTTGTGTATCTCATTGAAGCACAGGGTTTGATCAGTAAACCAAATTTGGGGCCATATGATGAACAAGGGGTTCCTGAGGTACAGCCCCCCCCTCCCCCAACAGCTTTTTCTAAAGTTGACACGTTTTGGCAGTGATTTTTGTGCACAGAGAGATCAAACCAGTGCTGAGACCATCACTCCAGGGTCTCAAATGCTTGAAAGTTATTTCAGAGTGCATGCACCTACTAGCCCTTTGGGGGCAATCAAATTAAAACACTGGCAAAGAGATTTTGGCTTTTCAGTTAGGTGTGCTGCAGAGCACCACTAAGGCTCACATGGCAAGAGGATTACACTGAGCCTGTACGGACAGAGGAGCCAACATGGTTTGTAGCCTTGACTATTTCATACCAGCTAGATAGCTCAAGGGGCTAAGTAGAAGTGCTTAGAACCTGACTTACCCTGCCAGGGTCAGTCTGAATTCCCACTTTGGGCAGAAATCTGGTAAGAACAGAAGGCATATTGCTAAAGTTTGTCTCCATATAGGGTTTTATTATTACCTCTATTTATTTTGGGGGAAACCACTGAACATTCTTAAGTACTTACTGTTGCCTCTCTGCTGAGAAGTAGCAGATTTCAAGGCCTTGCAGCTTGGTTTCCCCTTCTTGTTCAACCTATCCAATGATGTTATAATACTTACAAACCCAAACATCAAAAATTGTCTTTTTGACAGTGTAAATCTCTCCTCACTAGTTGTGTGCAAATCTTTTTGAAATAGCTTACATTTATTTCAGTTCAGTTTCAGATTAGCACCCTTAATCTTATCAAAGACCATGTGTACATGTATCAATTCCTGCTCAAAAAAGTCTTAGCATGCATCAGGATATCATCCAGGGTATAAGACAGGGTGAGAGGTATGCCATACAATACCCTTCCATAAGCCTCTCAAAGGTGGCAGGGGTGTTAAACAAGCCAAAAACCATTAATTAAAGTAATCACAGTATTTCTCCAGATGCAAAAGTAGTCTTTCCCCCGTCCTTTGGATCCACTTCTACTTGCCAATACCTAGTTTTAAGATCCGTTGTGGAAAACTAAGGTATCTGCTGCTAAGAATAGATAAGAATCCTTCTAAGTAACTTAATTCAATTTTCTATAGTCTACACAGAATATGGAACTCTGAACTTTTTTCCCTTATGTCTGAGGCCCAAGGACTGGCTGAAGAATCAATTATTTATACATTCCTATACAACCCCTCAATGGTTTGTAAAGCTCTTTGAGTGTAGAGCACTGTGCTGGAACAACTCCAGAAGAAAGTCTTGGAGTTCACCTTCAAAACTTCTCCACGCCCCGCTCCCCAACCCCTTTACAGTTTTTCTGTTTTCTTTTGTCAGTATTTACTAGATGCAGTGGCTTGTATTTTGTGGTTCCCTTTTTACCATTTTTGTTCATACAAAACACTCAACGTGCTTATAGTTCTCACTATCAACCTTTTGCTCCTCTCATTGGATCTGTGTAGTAGCTTTTCTCCCTAGGTCTCTGTTCTCCTCCTCAGGCAGTTTTCACCTGTCTCTCTTTGACTCTGTTGTCAGGCTACTCTGATCTACTCCTCATGATTTCCTTCAAAGCCCTCTCCCTCTAAGGCCCCAGCACGCTTTTTTAAGCCTAATTGTGGGTCAAGTGATCAATCACAAATGCACTGGCCTCTTCCCTCTTAAAGGGCCAGTGCTATCCTATGACAACACCTTTCCTGGAATTTATTACATAGTTATTAGCCATTATGACCCCATCCATTATCTCAGTTGCCCAGACCTCTTGTTCCAGGTCTTGAGGTCCAATTTTTAAACCTAATTTTCCCCATTTTTTGGATGAGTGCATGTTCTTCAGTCATTGTCTCCATTTAAGACCAATATGGCTGTTTATTCAGGGTCTTCTAGCATTTTTAGTATATCTAGTTTAATAACTGTTACATTTGAGCCAGTGTCCACAATTCCTGTACATTGCACATTTTCTATTACTCTCTTCAATAGTCCTATACTTATTACTGTTATTCAACTGACCAGATCTAAAAAAAAGCAAAAAACAACCCCCCCAAAAAAACAAAAAACCCAACTTGTGAGGCTACATCTTGTATCACCAACCTTTGCCCCTTCAGCTTGGTGTCAGCCCGTTTTCCCAAACTGGGTGAGGAACTTTCCTTACAAATTTATGACACTCTGTCCTGGCTTGCATTTATAACACTCCTTTTTGGGAGCAAATCTTTTTCATAGTACCAGCATTTATGAGAATTATTTCCTTTATTTTTTTGTTATTGTCAATCTCTGTTAACAATTTTTATAAGGGCTTGTCTATACACAAAAGTTGTATCTGTTTACCTATACTGGTATAGCTCACTAGTATAGTTCTGGTATAGTTAAAGCAGTACAAATCCCCCTGGTGTGTGTGCAGTCATATACAAGTTCCTTATGCCAGCATATCTATTCTTGTACAGGAAGGGGTATAACTAAGTCAGTATAAATTATCTTTATGCCAGTATGACTGTGTCCACACTAGAGCCTTTATCAGTATAATGATTTCAGTAAAAAAATCACAATCCTAACTGAAATAGTTATTCTGGTAAAACTTTCAAGTGTAAAGCAGGCCTAATTGTTCAAAATGTCATGACTCAAATTAAAATCCTCTTTTTCATCATGCATGTTAAATACAGATTTGTACTTACAGGGCTCATGTCAGAGAGGTTCTGTCATTCTCACTAGCAACTGCTTTCTTTTCTGCTTGGCCGTTGCTTGGAAGGACTTCAGTGCTGTAGCAAATATCAACACTAAACAGTGTCCTTGGTTTCCTTTTGGTGATCTTAATTAGCAAGAGCATGTCAAGTTAAGCATCAATAAAATGGGCCATTTCCAGTTTGTCCCCCAGTGGTATTTGGCTTTGCCAGACAACAATCTCATATGGCCCTCTGCCAGTTAAGGTGGGATGTCTTGTTCCCTCCTCCTCCTAGTCCTGGCCAGATTAGGTTGATGGCTGGCTCCAAATTGCTTCTGACAGCTCTTGATAACTCAGTCCTTTTCTGGAGCATCATCAGATCTGGTGCACTCAAGTTAGCTATTAAAAACACCCCTTTCTTCATCTCCCCCTTCATTTATTTGAGATATGATGTTAAAGTTAGACCAATAAGCCTCCCACGAAGTTTTCCCTTCAATGGTCACTATTGTATTTTTTGTGTTGACTTTTGTATTACTTGAACTGGGACTGTCTGATCCCTCCTAGCTGGGCTACCTTGGTGTACAAATGGGGTTGAAAAGTTTGTAAATGTCCTATATTGGACAAGTGCTCTGGCTCGCGTGATTCCTCATCCCAGCAGCTGGTTTCCACAATGGTCTGCAACCCTTGGAGTTTCTTCTCTCGCTAATTTTAGCTCTTTAATTCCTTGCTGCAGCTCATCTCTTACTCTAGCAAGTTCCAAGTTGGCCAGAGCTTTCTGGGTATTTCCCATTATCCTGGAAATGTATTTAGTCCACAGTAATCAAGTTTGCCCATCACTTCTTTTATCCTGTTTGCCAGTCTTGACTGGGCATGCTGCAGATGGGTTTCAAAAACTGTCCAGACCCTTTGTAATTTTTGATCCAGCAGAATGGATCTCATCTCTGCCTTCACTTCCTTCTAAAAAACCTCCAGATCCTATTTTATTTTCTTCCTCAGGTGCCTTGTTATTCCTTCTGGCCTGCTTATATTGCCTCTTGGACAGCTTTGATTTCTGCAACTTCCTCTGCAATTTTTTGCATTTTGGTTCAACAGGAATCCCTGCTCACAATTTCTTTCTCCTTGGAAACTCTATCCTGTTTCCAAAACCAGTGTTGCTTCTTGGGATAGGGTTTTCCAGTCCCTGTACATGGGGGATATTTTGTATCTATTGGAGGCTGGGGGAATTCATCAATCCTTATTTATGAGATGATGAGTCTGTTTTGAGAGGAAGGTTCAATCCCTATATATGGGAAGTACAGTCTACTGGGGAGGGCCAAGCCCCTATTTACGGGACAGGTCCTGGCCCTCATTTACAGGGTCTTTAAAATGGGGGTCTCAGCCCCTATTTATGTTGTGTTATGGAGGGACTCAACCATATTTACAAGACATTTGTGGGCCTGGCTCCTTTTTGTGGGGTATTTCAGGGAGTGTTCAGGTCCCGTTTACAGGCTGTTTGGGGGTCCCAGCCAATGTTTACAAGGTGTGCTAGAAGAGGAACCCAGCTTCTGTTTATGGGATGCTCTAGGGCAGTGTTTCTCAAAGACTGGTCTGTGAACCTGCTCCAGTCCCTGAGATTTCCCTGGCAACAGTTTAGGAAGGCTGCAAGCCAGTCCCTGGTATCACGAAGGTTGAGAAACTGCTCTAGGGGAGGGTCTCTGCCTGGAGCCGAGAGGTGGTGGTCCTGACCCCGTCTATGGAGTATGGGGAGGTAGGTCCGGTTATGAGGTGTCTTGCAGGGAGTATCCCGGTCCCTCTTTATGAGTGTCTTTGGCAGGACGCTCTGAGGGGGCCGCCCCCTGTTTAAGTGTGTGTGTGGGGGGGCAGGTTCCTCTTTCCCCTCAGGAAACGTTGAATGCGGTTGAACGATGTGCACGCGCTTGCTCTGCGTTGCTATGACAACCCAGGGCGCGGCGGCGGCGAGCCAGGAAGCCAAGTCCTCGCGCTGCCCTTTCGGGCCGGGCCGAGGCCGTACTACAGCTCCCAGCAGCCTTTGCGCCGCGCTGTGACTCTGCCTGGGCGACCCTGGCGCTGGCTGGGATGGAGTGAGTCTGAGGGGCAGGCGGAGGAGAGAGCACAGCCCACCGAGCCCCTCCACCCCCGCCCCGGGCCCATGCGGCCCCCCCGAGACCATGGGATCCAGGATCAAGTGAGTGCCCGGGAGAGCCCCTCCGCCCAGCTGCTGGGTCTCTCAAGGGAGGGCAGGGCAGGGGAGAATGGGGGAGCCCCTCAGCCCAGCCTGCAGGCCCCAGGAGAGGGGAGAGGAGGGCAAAGGGGGGAAGCCTCCTTGCCCAGCTCGCAGGCCCGAGGGGAGGGGAGGGCAGGGCAAAGGGGGGAAGCCCCCCTGCCCCGCCTGCAGGCCCCCGGAGAGGGGAGCTTCCTCCATCCCCAACATCCCCTTTGTCCCCTGCCTGAAGGATGGCCCCCTCCCTGCCGGGCTCACAATGGTGGGTGTGTAGGGCCGGACACTGAGGACGGTGTCCCTTGTGTGCATCATTGGGGGAGAAATCTGTCTGTTTGCAGGCCTGGGGGACAGGGCTGTCTGAGGCGGGGATGCTCTCAGGGGGCAACCCTCGCTGTTCAGGTGCTAGGGATGAAGGGGGTAGCTGGTGATAAGAGGCCTCTATCTTCCCTGCTTAGGATGGGTGTCTCTAGTCAAGGCTAGAGGAAAGGATTGAGCCCTCAGCCAGCAGGCCTAGAAAATGAGGCGTGAGTATGGATGAAGGGGGGGGGGGGGCTTTAAGGGAAGGGGGGATAGAGGTTGTGGGGAGTACTGGGTTGAAACTGCTGCTATCTCTCCTCTGCATACAGCAGATTCCATTAAGATGGGGGCCCTGCCAGAGGTGCTAACTGGGTAAGCCTTATTTTCATATCCAGGGCTGTCAGATTAAAACAACTAAGAACGTGAATAAATTGAGATTTTTAGAAAAGCTAAGATCATAAATATCTGAGAAGCAGATTTGTGCATGAGAAACCTGTTCTCATCCAGAGGGTGCTGACATGTTTGTGTACAATAATATTGGTGAATGGGGCTGATCAGGTGGCTCTGTTCTTACTTTACAGAGCACTCTGGGTGATTGCTGTTCCTCTCTCAGGGCACTTTCCTGTTCGGTTGCTTAGAGTTCTAATTTGTCACCCCTCTTGTTTAGCATGTGCAAACATCAGGTAGCAGCTACAAACTGGTCAGCTATTTTTGATCTATGGACAGCTAGGAGGTTGTGCCCATTCTTGTGACTACATATTGTAATTTTCATCCGTGTCTCTGTCACCTCAAGATTAGGTACTGCAATACGTTCTACATAGGATTGCATGTTAAATCTATTCAGAAACTTCAGCTGGTACAGAGTTTGGTGACTCGGTTAAATGATGTTTCCTTCTGCATGCATATTGAACCTGTGCTCTACAAGCCTCTCTGACTGCCCATTGATTTCTGGGTTGATTTTAAGATTTTGTTTTTGATTTATAATGGGTTAGCACCTACTTGTCTAAAGGAAATATTGTTAGATTTGCAGTAAGCACAGGTGTCTGAACTGCAACCCCACTGATATGAGAGAAGGGTGGGTAACAGCGCATTCTGTTAAGACCCCATGGCCTTTGGGACTCTCAAACTTGAGTTGTTGCTTTCCCACTTGGTCTGTCAGTCTTCAAGGTGTGCTGCAAGGCCCAATTCTCCCTCATCCATAAGGAGATGTAGGTGAGGGGTAGGCTTGGGTATTGATGGTATAGTACTCTCGGGAAATTTTCTGGGGAGGTTAATATTTAGCTAATGTTGTTGCTGGATGAATTGATTTGATGTTGGGGTAATTGAGAGGTCTCTTTTACTGTATTTTACAAAAATTGTCAAGGGTGCCCAAATAAAATAAGGACAAACTTTAAAAATGGTCTTAAAATGAATGCAGAATGAAGGAATCTCCATCCAAATGCGTGAGATAGGTCTGCTTGCTTCATAGCCTGCCGTAAGTCACCCAAAGATTTTCTTATAAACATACTCTCTGAAGTAGCTTTCACCTTTTGCATTGCTAGAGAAAATAAAACTTGTTAATCAGCCAACATCAATTTTTGTTTCTGCACAGTTTTGCAAGTCCTCTTTTTGTTTAGGTTCCCACATATTTATTACCAGTTCTCTGCAGAAAAATGAAAAAATTGAATTAAGACATGAAACCCATATTAAATCTCTTTGAAGAAGTGCATAGCACATTTGAAATTATTATACATAATTTCATCAAATAACGTCATGGTTCGATTCACTTTGGTTAATTTAACTAGCAGTTAAATTTTTTGAAAAATGTTAACTTTAAGTTAATTGAAGTGCTTACAAATTGCTACCATCCTTCAAAAGTGTTCAGCTTCTTTTTTTGAAAATCTAAAGTAGTCCCAACTCCTACCTCAATTTCTTTTTCTTCTCTTTCCCTGCCCATTCCCCACCCCCCCATCTCCTTCCCAGTAGATCTTTCCTCACAAAGGAAAACAGATTAGTTGTTTATTAAATTAGTTGGAATGTTTGCAGACAATTTTCGATGGGTGTCTTAATTTTTTGAAACGCAAAATTTCTCTGTCAGGATCTCTGTTTTGTTTGAGTTGTGAGCATCTCTTTTAAAAGCATTTTATGTGTCAGGAGGATGTAATTGAAGATACTTTTCCTGCAAGGAAACAGCCAGTGATGTACTCATTTCTTTTCTAGGATCTGAAATTAACTAAACAAAGAAGAAAATTAATTGATTGTGTCAGATGGCAGTTTTGGATTTCCTGCCCACATGTGCAGTATTGCTTTAGGAAAATGGTGAGGATTTTTAGGCTTTGGTTTGGATAGTTCTTGATTGTGAAGTGCAAAAGGATGTAAGGTAGTTCTTTTGTGTTTACTACCAGTTAGACGTTAAAACTTGTATGTTCAGACTTATAGTGCTAAATAATTGGCTTTCTATATAAAGTTCAATAGAAAGTGTGGGATTTGGGTGAAAGAGGAGCATATTAAATATAGCTAGAGTAATGATGTGTTGTACTTCAATAACACAGGAGCAGACAGTTTGCACGAAATATTGTGTAATTTTTGTGTAACCGGTGGATAGAGTAAGGAGGAATGTAGAGGAGATCAATAAATGTTCAATGGGCTGTAAGCTAGCAGGAATGTTGTTCAGCAAGAAACAGAATTGGTTCCCGAACCATGCAGAAACAAGGCATTTAGGAAACAGTTACTTTACTAAATAAAATGAACTTGCACTAGAGTTATTTTTTGTCTGACCTGAAAATTCCAGGACATAAAGTTGGTAGAGCGGCTAGAAGCAATAGGAAGTAATATGGGACACTGTAGGTGTGCAGATGCAAAATGTTCTACAATGGCAAAAGGCAGTGCTGAGTGAGATGAAAGACTAAAAGAGAAACTGAAGTCTAACTAGTTCCATATCCTGTTGATATACCTCAAAATATGTATGCAGGTAAGAGAACCTTTTTAAAGAGAATCAGTTCAGGGGTTTGAAGTGCTTTGACCTTGACCCGGATACTAAATTGCAGAATCATCATGGCAGGTGGCCTCTTAGTAAGCAGCTTTCTTTTACATCAGGGGTTCTCAAACTGGGGGTTGTGAGCTGCCAGCCTCCACCCAAACCCCGCTTTGCCTCCAGCATTTATAATGATGTTAAATATATTAAAAAGTGTTTTTAATTTATAAGGGGGCCGCACTCAGAGGCTTGCAGTGTGAAAGGGGTCATCAGTACAAAAGTTTGAGAACCACTGTTTCCCATGTTGATGGGAACCAATGACGTGGACTGTTATGAATGTAGAGATTGGAGGTTTACATCTGTTAATTCAAATAAAAATTTGTGATAAAGTACAGTACTGTATCATGATATTTGAAACATGATGTCCTGATGGAATTGTTACTTTTCAGCATAAATGATTGAACTGTAAAGAGGGTGACTTGATGAACATTTGGAGAAAATTAATTGGAATCAACTGTTGTCCAAATATGTCCTCTAGAAAAGTAACTTATGTGCAACAGGATACAATAATGGCAATTAACTGTGAAAGTGCCAACAACTAATGCCTTCAGAAGTAAAAGCACGGGAGAGGGTGTGATAAATGGAATTAAGCTGAATTAGACTTTTTGTGAAAACTGGCCTTAAATAACTCAGAACATTTAATTTAACAGTCAAAGATTCTTAATGCTTTGCTTTAGAACTATTTTTGGTTATCAAGAATTTTAGAAGTTAGTGAAATTGCTTAAAATGGATTTTAGTGGATCTTGGAGCCAAAATTTGTTACCTGAGTGAGTGTCATAGATAGGAATGCTAATTAAAAATAAATGAAAATGCAGTGGTGTACTACAAGTAAACAGTCAATAATTTGTGTGCACCTCTGATCATGTGGCACTAAGAAGCCAATTATTAATAGTAGTATTTGGCACTTACATAGCTCGTGTCATCAGTATTAACTTATCTTCATGACCCCTTGGTTTAGGTAACTAAGTACTATTCCTATTTTACAGAAGGGGCAACTGAAGTGTAGAGGTTAAATGAGTTGTGGCAGGCTCCAGAGGGCGTCAGTATCAGATCTTAATAATCTTCTCTCCTTTTCAAAGTTAAAATGTTCCTTCCCAGTAAGAGCTTGGGTGCACTGAAGTTGCCATAAGGACATGTTGACTATAAGAATTTATAATAGTTGTGGAATGTTAGAGTTCTGGACTAAGAATTTTGATCATATCCTTGAATTACAATTGTTCAGTGTAATTCATGATAAAATAAATGAATTAAAGTTGATCTAAATTTTCCAGAACAAGTGATTTAATATCCATAATTGTTAGTCTAAAGATTTTTTCTTAGTTGTTTTGGTTGTTGCAGTTAAGATTGGGTAATAAAGGCCAACGGAATGTTACAAGGCCTTTAATATCTGGCTAAAGACACAGGAGATCAAATTTGAACACATGCTTTATCAGAGAGACAAAGTGGGTGAGGTAATATCTTCTATTGGACCAATTTTTGTTGGTGAGAGAGACAAGCACTTGAGCTTTCAGTCATTTTGTATCTGCTTTTACAAAATAAGAAAGTTATTCAATTCCTAAACCAAATATGTCATGGGAGGTGAAGCAGGAGGTATAGATGTAACAACCTATTGTATTAAAAGGATATATGGAAGTGGGGGTACGGGGGATGGCTCAGATGAGATGCATCCAATGGTGCTGCAGTAAGTGATAAAAGCTGCTGAAGCATTGACAAATACTTATCCGTCTTTCTTAGTTCAGGAGAAATTTTCTGAGGACCGCAATGTGGTTAGTATAATATAATTTAAATAAAGGTCCAGAGACTTAGCAGGAAATTACACTGCAATTTGACAGTGGTTGTGGTGACAATGTGTGTGTGGAAGAGGAAGATGTAATCAAGACATTTATAAATTGGGTTGTTTTCAAACTCCCATTTACATAGGGGGGGAGAGAGGTTGGTCCAAGAGGAGAAGGAGATGATGAGAAATGTAAGTGGGGCAAAACCGTATAAAGCAAGCAGTTGGCCAAACCTTTTGATATGCATGCTGTATGGTGGGGATGTGCAATATCCAGGGGACAAATCAACCTCAGGATGCAGGGATTCCCATGAGGGTCTTATCCCTGGACTTTGCTTCTGTATCAGCCTTTGAGTAGGAGGTGTCTGATAAATTTGAAGCCCCCATCCCCACCCCAGCCTCCTCTTGCTGCTGTAAGGAAGAAGGAGCTTTTCTCTATCCCACTCAGTCTCTTGTGTTCTGTGAGGGTGGATGGAGGGTCTCCACTACTTTACCCTTAACTAGTTGCCTGCAAGTTGCTGTGCTGAGGGTGAGATTCTTCCTTACCCTTCCCCAGCATCTGCTGTTTGAGACAGTTGTAACTCC